GGAGGAGGAGGCGGAGGAGGAGGGGGAGAAGGAGGAGGAGGAGGAGGAGGAGGAGGAGGAAGAGGAAGAAAACGAAAACGAACACGACGACGAACACGAATAAGAAGGCTTATACTAATAATCATAATAATAATAAGACGAATACTAATAATACAACAAATTAATAATACTAATTTTAAGACTGCTAATAATCAGAAGGCGACGAAGAAGACGAAGGCGAGCACTACTAAGTATAAGAAGAAGACGAATACGAATACGAAGACGAAGAAGAAGACGAATACGAATACGACGAATAATAATAATAATAAGACGAACACGAATACGAATAATAATAATACGACGACGAAGAATAATAATACTAATACTAATAATAATAACAATACTTTTAATAGTAATAATAAAGCATATTAAGACGAGTAGTAACAATAATACGACGAATAAGACGACGACGAATACGAAGACGAACAATAAGAATAATAATACGAATGCTAAGACTAATACGAAGACTAAGACGAGCAATACGAATAATAAGAAAAACAATAATAATAATGAAGAGTGGTAATACGAACAATAATAACAATAACAATGATACTAACAAGAATAGTAATACGAAGCACACGAATAAAACTAATACTATGAATACTTAGACGACTCAGACGAATAATACTACTAAGAATAAGAATGCTAAGACGCATACTGCGAATAAGAATAATACTACGAATAAGACGGACAATAATAATAATAATAAAACTAATCAGAATAATAATAATAACACTAAGAATACTACTACTAATAATAAGAATAATAATAATACTAATGAGAAGACTAAGAGTAAGAAGAAGAAGAGGAGGAGGAGGAGGAGGAGGATTAGGAGGAGGAGGAGGAGGAGGAGCAGGAGCAGGAGGGGAACGAGGAGGAGGAGGAGGCGGAGGAGGCGGAGGAGGAGGAGGAGGACGAGGAGGAGGAGGAGGAGGGGGAGGAGTAAGGAGGGGGCAGCGGCAGGGGCTGGAAGTGGGCCGTTCTGCATCCTCCGGTCCCCGTGCACTTCAGGCGCCTTCCCGCCTCAATGGTCGCGTGGCTTCCCCGTGTTCCTCCTCTTCGGGGGACCCCGCTCTTCGTGGATATTCGAGGTCCCAGTGCACTTCAGGCGCCTTCCCGCCTCAAGGGTCGCGTGGCTTCCCCGGCTTCCCGCCCACCTTCCTCCCCTGCCTTTGCGTGTATCGGCTCCGTTGGCGCCTCTTTATCTTCTCCGTGTCTTGCTTGCCCTTGTCGTGTTTTGTCTCCTTTCTTCTCCTCTGTGTCCTCCTCCCCCGTCGGTCAGCCCGCCGCCCCTCGCGTCTTGTGCATCTCTCTCTTCTTCCTGCGGCTGTCGGCTGTTGCTGGTCGCCCCTCGCTTTTCTCTTCGCTTGGCTTGGCCCTCCTTGCCCTTGTCTTGGAGGCCCCTTGTCGTCTGGATTCGGCCGGCCAGTTTTCGGCCTGCCTTGAGTCGTTCCTTGGTGCTTCATTTTCTCTCAGCCCATCATTATCCCGCTGGACTATACCCATCAATCGTCCGAGTGACTTCTCCGCCCCGACCGCGTTTGCCAGAAGTGTGTGTGTGTGTGGTTGTGTGCGTATGTGCGTGCGTGCGTGCGTGCGTGTGTGTGTGCGCGTGTGTGTGTGTGTGTGTGTGTGTGTGCGTGTGTATGTGTGTGTGTGTGTTTTGTGTGTGTGTGTGTGTGCGTGTGTGTGCGTGTCTGCGTGCGTGTGTGTGTGTGTGTGTGCGCGCGTGTGTGTGTGTTGTTGTTTCTGTTCCACCCCTTCGGTTTTTGTATTGTCCAAGTTGTGCTGCAGTGTCCGTTGCCGTTTCCGGCGCAGTTGTTATGCAGTTTTCGGGTCTCCCCAGGCCCCCTTCGCCCGCCCGAGCCGTTTTCGTCCCGTTCTCCATGCGATTCCCATGCGACGTTTCCACTCCGTTTTCAGATGTTTATCTGAATTTGACTGTCCGTGTCTTTGTTTTTGGAGTTGTTGCTTTCAGTTGCCGCTTGTTTGTTGTTTGTTCGTTCCCAGGTCGGGTCGGCGGGTAGCTCGTTCCTTGTTCACGAGATTGCTGTCGTGTCCCCACTCGGATCCCCAGCAGCGACAAGCAATGCAACTATCACACGCCGTGGCTTTTTTTGAGAGACGACGAACAGCAGGACTAGGCGGAAGCGGTCGAGAAGGGTAAGGACGGGAAGGGGCAGGAGGAGACTGACGTTGAGTCGGGCGTGTCCCTCTGCAGGAGGAGTGTTCAAACATAGTCGAACATCCGTCCGGGGACGATGTCTGGAGTATGTTTCAGCATCGTTGGAACACTGTTTGACCATTTTTTGTTTTCCTGGTCCAACATCCCGAACTGAGACCGACGAGTGCCCGACCTGAGACCGAGGAGCGCCCGACGCCCGGCTCGAGCGGGAGGGCCGCGGCAGGGTGCGGCGGCGCCTCCGCTCGGCCATCGCCGCCGCGATGGCCTCCCGTGCCCAGGGTCGCGCGGCGGCGCGGGGAGACGAGAATCCCTCTCCGCCTCCAGGAGGATGCGAGGAGGGGTGTGGGCGGGGGAGGGGGGAAGGAGGGAGGGAGGGAGGGAGGGAGGGAGGGAGGGAGGGAGGGAGGGAGGAGGAGGAGGAAGGAGGAGAAGAGGAGGAGGAGGAGGAGGAAGGAGGAGGGTGAGAGGGGGAGGGGGGAGGGGGAGGGGGAGGGGGAGTGGGAGGGGAGGGGGGGGGAGGGGAGGGGGAGGGAGGAGGAGGAGGAGGAGGAGGAGGAGGAGGAGGAGGGGGAGGAGGGGGAGGAGGAGGAGGAGGAGGAGGAAGGAGGAGGAGGAGGAGGAGGAGGAGGAGAGGAGGCGGAGGAGGAGGAGGGGAGGAGGAGGAGGAGGAGGAGGGGAGGAGGGAGGAGAGGAGGAGGCGGAGGGAGGCGGAGGAGGAGGAGGAGGAGGAGGCGGAGGCGGAGGCGGAGGCGGAGGCGGAGGCGGGGCGGAGGAGGCGGAGGCGGAGGAGGAGGAGGAGGGGAGGATGAGGAGGAGGAGGAGGAGGGGGAGGAGAGGGGGAGGAGGGAGGAGGAGGAGGAGGTAGGAGGAGGAGGAGGAGGAGAGGAGGAGGAGGAGGAGAGGAGGAGGAGGAGGAGGAGGAGGAGGAGGAGGAGGGAGGAGGAGCAGGAGGAGGAGGAGGATGTGGATGAGGAGGAGGAGGAGGAGGAGGAGGAGGACGAGGATCAAGAGGAGGGAAAAGGGAGGAGGGAGGGGTGAGTTTGGGAAGGCAGCAGGATGAAGAGGTTCTTTAGTGGAGGGACGGATGAGCAGGAATTTGGGGACCGGGGAGGATGACGGGGAGGCAGAAAGAGTTAAGAGGAGACAGAGGGATGATGCTGATGATGATACTGCTGCTGCTGATGATGATGATGATGATGATGATGTTGATGCTGCGGATGATGATGATTAGGATGATGCTGCTGCTCATCGGTGATGATGCTGTTGAAGATGCTGCTGCTGATGATGATGATGATGACGATGATGACGCTATGAAGAGTGTGATTATGCTATTGTTGATGGTACTGATGGTACTGTTGATGATGCTGCTGATGCTGATGATGCGGATGCTTCTGTTGATAATGATTTTGATGCTGATGCTGCTGATGATGACGACGAAGTCGATACTGATGACATTGATGATGATCGTGATGATGACGCTGATGGTGATGATGATGCTGCTGCTGCTAATGATGATGAGGATGCTGATGATGATGATGATGCTGATTATGCTGCTGATGATGATGCTGATGATGCTGCTGCTGATGACGATGAGTATGGTGATACGGCTGATGCTGATGATGGTGATGATGATGATATTGTTGATGATTTTGATGCTGCTGCTGCTGATGATGATGATGATGACGCTGATGATGCTGCCGATGATGCTGATGATGATGCTGATGCTGATTATTATGATGACCATGATGATGAGGCTGATGATGAGGATGATGATAATGCTGCTGATGATGATGATGATGATGCTACTGATGATGATGGTGATGCTGATGATGATGGTGATGATGCTGATGATGCATATGATGATGTTGCTGATGACGATGATGATGATGATGATGGTGATGATGATGATGCTGATGATGATGATGTTGATGATGATGATGATACTGATGATGATGCTGATGATGCTCATGCTGAGTATGGTGATATGATGACGACAATGATGATGATGCTGATGATGATGATGATGATGATGATGATGATGATGATCATGATGATGATGATGCTGATGGTGATGATGATGATGACGATGATGATGATGATGATGATGATGATGATGATGAGTATCATTATTATTATTATCATCATTATTATGATGCTGCTGCTGATGATGATGATGACGACGATGATGATGATGATGATGATGATGATGATGATGATGATGATGATGATGATGATGATGATGATTCTGAGTCTGAGGACGTCGATGCTGATGATGGTACTGATGCTGCTGATGATGATAATGTTGGTGGTGGCGCCTTCGGGCCGTTTTGGTATTTTGGGCGTCTCTGAGGGACACGAACCTGCCTTGGCGGAGGAGAAGAGGCCAGGGGAGGGGCGGGCACCTTAGGTGGCCCTGGAAACGGCAGGGCCGTTTTTGCCGATTCCCTGTTGCTGTTTTTTTGACAGTTCCGTTCGATGTTTGTTCATGGGAGCCTTGGGCGGCGACATTGAAATCAGATTTCTTGCATGTGGACAGCGTGGGGGCCACACTTGGCCCATCCTCCTGCTCCTCCTCTCCCCTCCTGTTCCCCCTCCCCCTCCTCGTTCTCCTAGCCCCCACGAATCCAGTCCAAGTCTGGTCCAAATCCGGTCCAAATTTGTTCCAAATCCGGTCCAAATCAGGCACAAATTGGAGCGTGCTGGGGGCCACGCAGGCTCCCATGGAACAGACACCAAAGTTCCGACGCTGTGATTTTGCCGGTTCAGTCGCCGTTTTTTTACCGGTTCCTGCTCCGGTTTTATTATTGGAGCCGTTTTTCTGCCATTTCCGGTCGCCGTTTTGTTTGGTTGCCCTTTCCATTTTCACGAGACTTTTATTCGGAAGCGGTGAAAAACGGGCCCTGCCGTTTCCGGGGCCCACACAGGACCAGGGGAGGGGGGGGACCAGGAGAGGAGAGTCTCGCAGGCCTCGGGAGCGCTTGTCCGTCGCATTGCGGGAGTTGCTAGGCGGATTTCGTGCGGACCCGAAAACCAAGGCGCGCGGCCATGGACCCATGGACTCGGAGGATGCTGAGTTCGTATGGGGTAAGTCCGTGCGTGCGGAGAGCTCGGTCTCCGTGCGGACTTGCTCCGTCCAGACTCCGCCTTCTCCTGGACAGGCGGTGCGGAGAGAGTCCGCACGGAGTGCTCGGTCTCCGTCGGGATGCGTCCGTCCGAACTCAGCCCCGCTTGATCGACGCGCGGGTGACTTTGTGGAGTCTACGGTTTCGCCTCTGCCGCGTCCAAGGGGGCCCCTGAGATGGCCCAAGGGTGGGCGGCACGAGGCTGCCGAGCCAGCGCCGAGAGAGAGACTCCCAGAGGCTCGCGAGGCGCTCCCCCCCAGACGTACAGCATCTTTGCGGGGTCAAGTCGCTTGGCACCTCGAGACAGCTACAACCCTCCCTCGGCAGCCAGCCCTCGTCGCGACGACGACACGATGCTCTTGCTTCTTGTTGTCGCGCTTGCGGCCGTCGTGGCCCGATTGGGCTCTGCGCCACTGGCGCCACTCCCCTGGGCAATGTTTTCATCCCGAGCTGTCGTTTACGAGCTTCGGAGGCAGACCTTGGATGCTGAGGATGGGAGAGTGGCGGTACGTGTTCTACTCGATATTTTCAAGACGTTCGAGGTCTGGGTCCGTGGGTCTGAAGGCGACTCCCGGACCTGGCCTGGGATGCGTTCTGGTTCGCATTTTGAGGGGTGCGGTGACGAGGGTGCCCCAGGATCTGAGGCGGGGATTCACATACAGAACCACCGCCGGGGGGATCGATGCTCGATCCTCCAGGTGGCGCATATGGTTCATGGATGAGGCCCCGCCTCGCACAGGAGGCACCAAAGCGGGTTCAAAGCCGCCCACCGCCATTCCTCCTCCTCCTCCTCCTCCTCCTCCTCTTCCTCCTCCACTGAGTCCACTGCTGCTCCTCCTCCTCCTCCTCCTCCTGCTGCCTCCTCTTGCTGCCTCCTGCCTCCTCCTCCTCCTCCTCCTTCTCCTCCTCCTCCTCCTCCTCCTCCAGCCCCAGGTGGCGGCGCTGGACCTCCCAGAGAGCGAGTTCACCTACGTCGCGGGGAAGCAGGACAGGCCGTGGAGCCAGTTCGCGCAGCGATGGACGGGGGAGGGTGGGGGGGGGCCCTCCATGAAGGCGAAGAAGGGGACTCGAGGAGGGAAGCGCGCCAGTGGATGACCCTGAATACACAAAGGGGGGGGGGATGCTCGCAGAACCCCCCCCCCCACCCCCCTTCAAGGGGTGGTGGTGAGATTTTCGACCCCCCCCCTCCCCCCCTTGAGGGGGGGGTCCGACCCCCCCCTTTTGAAGGGGGGGGGCCCACCTCCCCCCTGGCGCTGGAAAGGGGGGGGCCCTCCCTGAAGGCGAAGAAGGGGACTTGAGGAGATTTGTCGTTGGGGCGCCTTAGCGCCGCTAGCGGGCCAGGTTTCCTGATGTCACTAGCCTTGAGGGCACGATGGCCCCAATGCGTTTCCAAGCATGCCCAAAATTTTGCCACAGCATGCCGAAGCATGCGCAAGCATGCCATCGCACGCCAGTGCATGCAAATGCATGCCAATGCACGCCAATGCACGCCAATGCATGCGTAAATATACCAAAGCATGTCAAAGCATGTCAAGGAGGAGTGGAGGAGGGCGGCGGTTGATTGAGCGAGGCTTCGGTCATTGAAGAAGCCGCATCCGTCTCTCTCCCCCTCCTACCCCGAGAACGCCCGCCAGCTTCGCCTCTCGTCTGCACTTGTTGTTCCTGCCCCCCCTCTTGTGTGCTGCGCGATGTGTCCGTTCCCCCCCCCTCCCCGCCCCCCCTGCGATTCCGAAGGCCAGGACGGGCGTGCGGTGAACGCAAATCCAAGTTTCATGAAGCAAGTACCTTTTTGGTGCCGGTGCCGAATTTTTCTGGATGGGAAGTCGAAGTTTTTGACACTTTTGAGCCGTTTTGATTCTTAAAAAAAAAAATCGTTCAACATCCCACTGTAGGAGGACAGGCCCAAGCGAGCTGCACTCGTCGTCCGCCTCGCCGTCGTGGTCTTCGTCGCCGTTTCCGACGCCGGCCGCGGCCTCGGCGGGGAGGAGCGCCATCCAGCCGCGCCTGGCGGCGGCGCTGCGGGCCGTCGGCGATCCGGTTGACCGATAAGGGGGTCCAGATTTGGTGCAATAGATTTGCGGGGTTGCGGCAGATTCGTGGGGTTGCAGCAGATCTGTGGGGTGTGCAGGCTAGATTTGGTGCAACATATATCTGTGGGGCTGCGGTGGATTCGAGGTGTGCAGTGCACTCCAGGGGCGCAAAAACGTGCTGCTGGGTCTTCGCGTGCAGGGCATCTGCTGCAACACCATGCAGAACACCTCTCTGGCGCGGTGCATCTGCCATGCCATTGCCCCAAGTCTATTTCGGGGGTGGACAGACCTCCTACCCTGACACGTCGATTAGTGAATTGTCCATTTTCGGTTCTCCAGAGGGCGCCGCGGCCGTCGTGTTCCAGGATTGCGCCCGCCAGGTTTGGGCCCGAGGGCGTCTTCACGAAACCACGTTTTACTGAAGGGGGGTCTGCCCATCCCCGACTATGGCACCGCCACTTGCCGGCTGGAATCTCCTTGTTGGGCCAACCACAGGCGAGGACCGACCCCTGCGGGTGGTCGACCTCGGCTCGTGCACGGGCTTCTTCGCGCTCAACGCCGCGCACCAGCACCCCGAGGCTCCGCGGAGGAGACGGCACCGACACGGCCCTCACCTGCGCCTCTCTGGGCCTCCAGGGAGGCCCTCGACCGCTGGACTCGCCTCGGAACTCTGGTCAGAGCGGATCCCCGGGGAGAGGTGCTCGGCGGGGGGCGAGGGGGGGAAGTGAAACCGAGAGGGCCTTTTCGGACGGCGGCCGTGCTTCTCAGGAGCCCTCGCGCCCTGTGAGAAGTCTTCGGTGCCCGAAGGCCTTCTCGGAAGAAGACCGGGGGACTTCCGAGCCTTCCGAGAAGGCCCGCCCCTCCTCACTTCCCTCCCCCGCGCTCGCCTCCAGTCAACGCCGCGCACCAGCACCCCGAGGCTCAGAGGAGGAGAAACGGTGGCGATAGCGCTGCCCTGGTCTCGTTCCGCCTCTCTGGGCTCCCAGGGCGGCTCTCGCCGCCTCCGTTGGAGTTGCCTCGGAACTCTGGTCAGAGCGCACCCCGGGGGAGGTCCAGGGAGAGTAGCGGTATCGGTGCGTTCCCTGGGGCAGGCGTCCCCGACGGCGGAGACGTTTCTTTCAAACCGCTCTTCGTCCCTCACTCTGAGGTCCGGCGTTGCGAAACACTGCAGCATCGCAGCAAATCACGACTGGAGCCCCGGACCCAATCCCTCGGTGGCACTGCTCGAGCCGGATCGATCTGCGAGGGTCCCAATCATTAGGGCCCGAAGCGGGGCGAGGACGCCCGCCGTGGAGAAAAAGCTGCGACGCCGGGACCTCAAGGGTGCGTCCCTGGATGTGTTGGCGTCCCCAGATAGGGGGCCAACTGCGCACCCTACCCCCACCCCCCACGAGTTCTGAGGGGGAGGGTGGGGTTCAGTTCGTTCGGGAGCTCCCGAGCGAAGTGAACCCCGCCCTCCCCCTCAGAAATCGTGGGGGGTAGGGTTATGGTTCGCATGCGCTTGGCATCGCTCGGACGTGTGCATTTTTCCTTCGCCGAGGACCATCGAGGAGCATCCTTGATCACTTGGCGAAAAAAGCACGCACGAAACCGAAAAAAGCACAGAGAATGGACGTCCGAGCGATGGCCAGTGCGGCCCCCGACCCAGAGGCGGACGTGGTCGGCGTGGAGGGCTCCGTGGGCACCGCCGGGGCGGGCCGCAAGCGCGCGGGGGGGGCCGCCGGCTCTGCCCCGCCGGGGGGGCCGCGGGCGGGGGCCGCGGGCGGAGCGGTGCGGCCCAGGCGGCCCCGGCCTTCCGGTGGGGGCGGTGCGGCGGGGGGGCGCCCCGGGAGGCCTCTCTCAGGAGGAGGAGGAGGAGGAGGAGGAGGAGGGAGGAGGAGGAGGAGGAGGAGGAGGTGGGAGGAGGAGGAGGAGAGTGGAGGAGGAGGAGCAGGAGGAGGAGGAGAAGGAGGGTGGAGAGGAGGAGGAGGAGGAGGAGGCGGAGGAGGAGGAGAGGAGGAGGAGGAGGAGGAGGAGGGTGGAGGAGGAGGAGGGCCGAGGGGTCGAGGGGGGGGGATGATCCTGGGCCTCCCGGATGGGGTCGGAGCAGTTGGGGTCGGGGGATCGCGCCGCATCGCCGATGCATCGCCTATGCGGCTCGATGTGGAGCCCGATGTCTTCCACGCCGACGTCGCCGATGCATCGCCCGCGTCGGCGATGCATCGCTGGTGCGTCGCCGAGGCATCGCCGATGCGTCGCCGATGTATCGGCGATGTGGCGCGATCCCCCGACCCCAAGGAGGCCTCTAGTAATCCCGAAGGGTCTTTCGTTTTGCCCCCTCCCCCCCTCTCCGCTGTTTCTCTTGGGGGGAATGAACTCGTCCCTCCTGTTCCTCCTGCTCCTCCTCCTCATCCTCACAGTCGTAGTCGTCGTTGTTGCGCGGCGGGTGCCGCTGAGAAAATTAATCTGAAAGGCCTCGCTCCCTGCCGCTGGCCTTCCCTCTGATTGCCTGCGTGGCTGCGTTGGTTGGGGTGGTCGGTTGATTGATCGATTGCATTGCAGGCTGGCAATTCGGCTGTCTGGCTGGCTGTTCATTTGTCTTGGAGCGTCGGATGCCCGAAAAGGCGAGGGCGCCCAAATCCGTGGGGTTAGAGCGCTCTTTTTGGGGCCTCTTGGGAGCCTTTTGGGCCGTCTTGGGACCATCTTAGGCGCCTTGGAGCACTCTTGGGTCGTCTCGGAGGCCTCTTGTACCTTCGTGGGGGCCTTTCATGAAGGGTGGTGGCCTCGAAAGCGCGAGGGTGTAGTATGACTGCGGGGACCCGAAGAGTGTGACTTTACCGGGGGATACTGGCTTCGCGGACGTATGCACTGTGAACTGAGAAAGAGTGTGGACTCGGAGACCCGAACACCGCGTAATTTACAAGACATGATGGTCTCGGGAGCGCGGACACAGCGTATTCTTCGAGGGTGTATGGCCTTGGGGACGCGACTTCTTGCATCATTTGGAATGGATTACTGCCTCGGTGACGCGAGCATGGCGTATTTCGTCAGGGATTGCGGTCTCGGGGGCGCCGAATCATATGCATTTTTACGTGTCCTAGGACCCCCCAGAAATTCTCAGGACCCGCCCGGGTGCAGGTGACCAGGGCCTTTTTCGGCTCCCCGCCCCACGCGCACTTCAACAGTTCAAAATAGGAAGCAGAACACAGAATTGTAACATCAGAGACTGGGAACTGGAACTGGAGCAGGGAGCACCAAGTCGAAACCGCGGAGCAAGTCGAAGCTGGCGAATTTTCCATGGTTGGTGGGACCCCTGTCCGTCAATAAGGGCGTCGAACAAATGATTCGTTTCCCTTTTTATTAAGGGGGGGGTTCTAAAGACCCGTTTGGGTTAGGGGCGGATGCGAGGCGGGACAGTGACAGGGGCAGCGACGGGAGCTCGAGGCCGAGCGCGAGCAGCCAGTACTACCTGGGCTAAGGCTGAGGACAGAGAACAGAGAGAGAGAGAGAGAGAGAGAGAAAAAATAGATACAGAGAGAGAGGGAGGGAGAGGGAGATACAGAGAGAGAGAGAGAGAGAGAGAGAAAGAGAGAGAGAGAGAGCGAGAGCGAGAGCGATCGAGATAGCGATAGAGATATAACGATACACGACAGGGAAGAGAGAGAGAGACATGACGGGCGAGTGAGAGAGAGAGAGACATATAGATAGATAGAGAGAGAGAGAGGAAGAGAGAGAGGAACATAGCGAGAGAGAGAGAGAGAGAGGGAGAAAGAGAGAGAGAGAGGGGACGGGAAGAGAAGCTGAGAACGGACGCCTCAGCGGAAACCTCGTCCGGTGAGGTGGGCCAGGATCGTACGCGGTGGGGCCTTCTCCTCTGTCATTCGCTCCTTCAACCATTTTCCTCGCTCCTCTTCCGCCCTCCTGCCTCCTCCTCTTGCCCTCCTGCCTCCTCCTCTCCTCTTCCGCCCTCCTCCTGCCTCCTCCTGCCTCCTCCTCCTGCCCTCCTGCCTCCTCCTCCTCCTGCCCTCTTCCTGCCCGCTCCTCTTCCGCCCTCCTGCCTCCTCCTCTCCTCTTCACCCTCCCCCGTGCTCCCCCCAGCGGGGCGCATGTATTCAACATTCCGCAGACAGCTCACTCCTCACTCCCAGCCAGGAATCCTCCGGACAGCAGCACCAGCCCCAGCCCCGATGCTTGCTTTCATGCCGAAATGCGGAGCTACTATTACCTGTTGCCATGCCATGCTTTAGACGACAAGGATGCAGAGGATGGACGATGGGCGGGGAGGATGAGGAGGAGTCGGAGTCGGAGTCGGAGTCGGAGCAGGAGGAGGAGGAGGAGGAGGAGGAGGAGGAGGAGGAGGAGGAGGAGGAGGAGGAGGACAAGACAACGACGAGGAGGAGAGAGGAGAAGCAGGAGGATGCGGCAGACCAGCTCAGCTGCCCTCCTAGGACAGTTTTTTTCTAGAGGTTATTGGCCCTGGAGAACGAGGAATGGCAAGGATGCGGTCATTTAGGGTCGGAGGTTGAGTAGGACAATCAGGAGGAGGAGGAGGATATTGCTGACGAGGATATGTAATGAGTACTGGAATGGTGAGAATGAGGATAAGGAGGAGGGATAAGGAGATGAGGAGGAGTACGATGGGAGGAGGACGAGGAAATCCTTACCCTATCGCTGTGCACTCAGCCGCAATCATCAGGCATAGGGAACGGCAACGTTGGCATGGACCAGGGCTCCGCGCAGCAGATCCTCAAGACGTCTGCCGCGCAGACCCACCTGCGGTGGATCCGCCGTTTGGGCCTGAAGAACTGCTTCATCGCTCCAGAGGCGTGTAGGGACGGGGGACGAGGATGATGATGGGGAGGTCCACTTTCCCAGCCACCCCTATCCAACCCGAAGGCCCTGGTTCGCCCCGAATTTCGGGCTGGGGAGTGTACGGGGTCCATCGTGTCTCCTCAATGTTCTGGAGTGCCTCCCCCTGCTGGACAGTTGACGAGCCCAACGGTGATTTCGTGTTGGGTTGCGGTGGTTTGGTAGGAAGTCAGAGCAGGGTTGAGGATGCGGGCAATGTGTATATCCATGTCCAGTGCGTTTTGGACTTTCTCGGAAGGGGCGTCGCAAGGCCGAGGCGCATTGCAAGTGGACAACAATCGAGCCCCTAGGGGCCAGATTTTTTCGCCCCTATCCAGTGCGCCTCGGGCTTCCGGGGAAGGGAGCCCGAAACTCCAAGCTGTCTTGGATACGGGCACAAATCTTGCACGCATGCTGGGGTCCCAGGTGCGCTATGATACCCGTCGGATGACAGAGAAGCGTCGGCGCAATGAGACGGGATTGGGCGGGAGGGCAGGATGACAGATGTGGCGCGAACGCACCTAGGCCTAGCATGGCCGCCTCGGTCCGATTCGATGCGGTTCGATTCAACAGCCGGTGCCGCGATTCCGACGCGATTCGAGGGGGGCAAGTCTTGCCCGAGTACGGGGGAGGAGGGGACTTGCTCGATGCCGCGCGCACGCACCCCCACCCCCTCGTTGGGCCTGCTCGGGGGGTGGGAGTGCTCCAGCGCGCCTTCTTGCGCCGCCCAGATCCCAGACCCCACCCCAAACTTGCCTCGTCCGCGCCGGTGGCGAACACTGTTTTGCCGCCCCTCCCCCACTGCCCTGCCTCCTCCTCTCCTGCCTCCCCCCTCTGCCTGCGTGGGGCGTGTCGTGCTGAGCAGGGCACCGCGGTCGCACGTCTCTCCTTGCTCCTCCTCCTCCCCCGTCCTCCCGCCTCCTCGTGCGCCCCTCCGAGCTGCCTGCCGCCCCGCCTCCCACGGGCTTCCTGCCCTGCCTCCTGCCTCCGCGCCATCTCGGCGGGGCTGCGATCTGCGAACTTATCAGCACTTTGGAGGACACTGGGGGGGGGGTCTGGCGGAGTGACGTCACGCGCGGACCTACATTTGACCTCGCCATCCCTGCGGGGCCGCGACCTGCGAGACCGTCGCCCTTCTTGAGGGCCACGGGGGCCTCTTGGCAGCATCTGTGGGACCTCCTGGGTCTCTTGGAGGCCCCGTGGTCACCTCGCAAACGTCCTAAATAAAACAAGTTTCCTGTATGTAGTGGGTCGTGAACCCCCCGCGGCGAATCCATGCGATTTGCGACTAGTTACTTTTGCGAGTCGTGGAATGCGCTTGTTTACGTGGGGCATCCTTTTGGGTTTCCGGCGGCCGCTTGAGGGCTTGTTGGGGGCCTGCTTCTGGGGGGGCCAATTTTCGGGGAAGGCTCGATATGTCTGTTCGGGTTCCCCCCTGTTGGGGCCTTTGTGGGAGCCTCTTGAGCCATCAAGGGAGGCCGGTTGGGCCGTCTTGGGGCCCTTACGCCAGAGGAGGACAAGGTACCCATGTACCCCTGCCGCTACCCTTCTCTGGTTTTCGCCTTTTTGGGGCCTCTTTGGGAGGCCTTCATCGCTACCCCTGGAATCGCTTTGAAATCCTGGTCAGAATGCATCCCAGGGGAGGTCCGGGGAGTAGCGGTATCGGTACCTTTTGGCCTTCCCATCGTTGGCTGGCTTAGGGCGACCTCGGAGGCCTCTTGGGCCGTCTTGGGCGGTCGGAGGCTCGAAATGGCGGAGACGCCAAAATCTTTCAAACACCAAAGGCAAGATCAATCTCGGAACGCTCTGGGTCTGAGACCGTGGGGCCTGCCTCTGGGGCGTTCTTGGGGCGCTCTGGAGGCCTGCATGGCCGCGCCCAGGAGTTCCAGCACCTCTGACCCGACCTCGCTGGAACTCGTGTCGGGACTTTGACGGGACCTTGCCGGGGTTTTGACGTCCTGGGAACCCCAGGGGCCACCACGCACGCGAGAACTAGATGCATTCGTAAGCTTAAATCTCTTACAGGAGATCTTAGCACGCCTTTGGCGCGTTGGGCCGGCGAATTGCCCATGCCGAGCCTCACTGGCACACCCGTCACAGGTAGTGACATTCACAGGAATAGTATGAGGAGGTGCAGAAGGTGGAGGGAAATACGGGGCATGGAGGGGAGTATAGCAAGTGCGGGATGAGGCGGATGATGAGGGAGACGGAGGAGCTGAGAACAGGAGGAGAAGAACGAGGATGACCATGATGAAGAGGACGACGACGAGGACGAATCTGTTGACGAGGGAGATGGAGGGAGGAGACGGGAACGGAAGAGTAGGAGGAGGAGGAGGAACAGGATGAGGAGGAGTAGGAGCAGGAGGCGGAGGTGGTGGATGAGGAGGAACGAGACGAGGATGAGCAAGATGACGGGGAGAGGCAGAGGACCGGGAATGGTAAGCGAAGGGGCAATCGGATTACCAGGATTGCCGCCAGTACGCGAGTCTGACAGAGAGCAGGCGCAACCAGAACCGGGAAAGCTCGGTTGCGCGGCCGAAAGCGTCTACGCAAACACCGGCAGTTGTCAAACAACGGAGACAGCAACGCCAAGTATGTACCTCTATGTTCGATGCTCGTTTCGGGGACCTTCCTGGAGCCCACCTAACGGATCTGTTCGACCCCAGTTCGACTCAAGTTCGACTCAAGTTCGACTCAAGTTCGACTCAGGTTCGACTCAGGTTCGACTCAGGGTCGACCCAGCTCGACTGACGTTCGACGCAGCTTCGACGCACGAGTGGAGCGAGTGGCTCCAGGAAGGTCCCCAGAACGAGCATCCAATCTATGCGGCCAGAAGACTTAAAACATACAAGTTCCCCATAGTTCAGCAGGCCAGACGGCCGCGACCGTGTTCCTCCGCGAAGCCCCGGCTGATATAGCGACACCCCCCCAAGGTGCCGAACCAAGCCTCTGGCTCAATGAGGTCGGGACCCTGGATCACCCACGACGACCAGGCGGGTCACCTAGCCCGTGTAGGCAACGCCTAGAGACACCCTCGCCAGTCAGTCCGCTTGCCCAACGAGGACCAGGTGGCACGCGTCCATGAGCCTCCGACGACCAATTTATGGAAGTGGCCCACTGTGGTACACTGGGGTGCAGCGGACAGAATGTCGGAAACTGGAACATCTACATTACCAGTGGCGGGTTTTGTTTCAATCCCACGACTTTTTGAGGGTCGGGGACGACGTCGGGGTGGTGTGGTGTATACTTCTCCCTCGTTTTCCTAGGGAAACGACGAATCATGTATACACCAGGATCCCCTACGTACCAGGAACCGCCTTCCTGTGCGACTTTCAGCGCAGGGTCGGAGAGAGCGTCGGTGTATAGAGCTCGTCTCCCTAGAATGGGTTTTACACCCTAGGCGATGCTTAAGAAAACGGAAGGTTTCGGCCGGAGTCTCGATTATTCTTACTGTTTCAACGTAAATCCTAACATTTAGTAGGAATTCTTTACGCTTCGCGTATCCCCACCAGCCCATCTCACAACAGCAACTCATGCGAAGCATGGCGACAGTCGTGTTTTTCAGGCGTGTGTCCGTTTGGGCCCGCATATCTCCCCTGTTCCTCCTTCCTCCCGCCTCCTTGTACATCCTCCTTGTGGGGGGAGCGGGAGAAGGACGAGGCGGAGGAGGAGGGAGAGAAAGCGCTCCTCGTGATTTGAGTCGTTTGGGGTTTCTCGTCCTGGTGTGAGTCGTTCGGGCCCTTCTTCCTGGTGTGAGTCGTTCGGGCTCTTCGTGGTGTGAGTCGTTCGGGCTCTTCGTCCTGGTGTGAGTCGTTCGGGCTTCTCGTGGTGTGAGTTGTTCGGGCCCCTCATCCTGGTGTGAGTCGTTCGGGCCCCTCCTCCTGGTGTGACTCGTTCGGGCTCCTCGTGGTGTGAGTCGTTCGGGGCCCGCGTCGTGGTGTGAGTCGTTCGGGCTCCTCGTGGTGTGAGTCGTTCGGGCGCCTCGTCCTGGTGTGAGTCGTTCGGGCCCCTCCTTGTGGTGTGAGTCGTTCGGGCTCTTCGTGGTGTGAGTCGTTCGGGCCCCTCGTCCTGGTGTGAGTCGTTCGGGCTCCTCGTGGGGCCTCTTGGGGGCCTCTTGGAGCCTCTTGGGGCCTCTTGGGGGCCTCTTGGGGGCCTCTTGGGGGCCTCTTGGGGGCCTCCTGGGGCCTCTGGGGGCCTCTTGGGGGCCTCTTGGGGGCCTCTTGGGGGCCTCTTGGGGCCTCTTGGGGGCCTCTTGGGGGCCTCTTGGAGGCCTCTTGGGAGGCTCCTGGGGGCCTCTTGGGGCCATCTTGGGGCCTCTTGCGACCTCCTCAGAAGCGCAAAGAAGCGCTGCCCCCTGAGAAGGACAAAATGAGCCCAAAACCTTCGTAAAATCAATGATTTTGCTATGAAGGAAGATGAGCGCGGCCCCTCGGGAGGCCAAAATGGGGCCAAAACCTTCGTGAAAGCAAGGACTTTGGCTTCACAGAAGAGGAGAGGGTTTTTTCTGGGCCCCCCCGACGGGGCCAGAATCCTCGTGAGGGTCGTCGTTTTTTGGCCCTCCCAGGAGTCGAAGAAGACCCCTCCAACCACCCGCGGGACGCCCTCTCCAGGCCCAGGGGGAGGGGGTAGGGGGAGGGGTAAACCCCTCCCCGAAGGGGAAGAAGGGGGGTTGAGGACAGAGGAGGCTCTCTAAACCACTCACGCCCTAAAGGGCTGGTGGGATTTTGTGTTTTTATTCAAATTCTGAGACTATGAATTTCTTAACCCATGATTTCTTAAGCATTTCGCAGGGTGTATGCTTTCAATGGTAGGAGTGACGGAGTCCCGAGGTCCCAGACTGCCCCCGCTCGGCCGCGCACGGCCAGGCGGCGCCGGCTCCCGGACCCCGGAAGCCCGTCCCCCCCACAGCGTCGCAGGCTTGGAGCACACACGACTACCGTTTTTCAAGGGCACAAAAGACGCCCCTACCCTGGTTTACGAGGCGCTGTGCGCTGAAACTCCTGTGGGCTGACAGGGTAAACCCTGCGTGATGTGCCGCGTCCTGGCGGCTCTAGGCTTTGGGGGTTCACAGGAGGTTTACAGACCACGCACTTGTAATCCAGGGTAGGGTCGTTTTTTCATCCCTCAAGTTTTTGTGTATCTCCCGCGGGTTCAATGCTGGGGTGATGGACGGGAGGCAGAAACGCCTGTTTTCTTGGCAAGGAGGCCCAGTGGCGCAGGAGGTTCCAATGGGGAGGAGGGGGTTGGAAAAGGGGGAGGAGGAGGAGGAGGAGGCGGAGGAGGAGGTGGAGGAATGATTGCCCCATCGCCGTGGAGGGCTGGCAGGTGGAGATGGTGGAGGATTGGGAGGGGGTTGAGGTAACCAGCTTGGAACATATCCCCATCCCGATGCCAATCTTGGGGGTCCCTCAGTTTCTGAGGGCGCAGCCTTAAGATTGCATTGCCACCGCCCTTTGGCATGTCCTTCTCGGGAGTAGGGGCAGGTTCGAGGCTGGTGAGGAGAAGGAGGAGGATGTGGAGAATGAGGAGGAGCGGAGGGAGGGGAGGAGCTGGCGAGGCTGGGGGACATCGTCGGCGACAGCGGTTCCCCGCAGGTCTGGGACTACCTGCGCGTCTGCGACCTGGCCTCGCACGGGCGGCCGATATGCGACGTCATGTTCAGCCTCTCCGTCATCCACCACGTCCACGGCGCGTCTCTCAAGCAGTACGCGCCCAGCGGTCGGGAAGGGGGGGGGGCCCTCGAGGAGGGAGGAGGCTGGAGGATGGGGTGCGTGCTGTGAGGTGCGGCTTGGCCTCGAAGGCGCAAGGCGGCCACGCCGCACGGCCCCACGGGCCCGGCCGGTGCCGCCGAGGCACGCCGAGTCACCCCGCGAAGCGGGTCGTCCGCCGAAGCGGGCCCTGGCCGCCACCAGGCGGCATGGTAAGGCAAACGCCGCGCCACGTCTCGCTCTCCCCTCATGAGCCCGAAGCAGCCGCAAGACCACTAAAGCAGGTCAAGCTGCGGCTGGAGGGTGAGGAGGAGGGGGATAGGCCAAGCTCAGTGCGCTCGCGTCGTATCTTACGTCCTACCCCAACCTCCCATCCCTTATCATGGCGTAGATATCCTCTCTATTCGCACAGGCGGATGTCGAGAAGGGCAATGACTGAGAGGGTGCGCGACGCATCGTAGAGCACGTCATAGCAAGCCGTAGAAGAGCATGGCAGAGCGTAGTCTCTCATAGCATGGCTTGGCGTTGCGTAGTGAAGACTTGCATCGCAAAGCATTGCAACGGAAAGAACGGCATCGCACAGCGGTCACAGCGGCATAGCATGGCTTTGAATCTCAAAGCGTAGCATAGCATAGCATGGCGTGGCACTGCGTAGTCCAGCACTGCATATCCTAGCATTGCAGTTGAAGGAATGGCATCGCACAGCGGAGCACTATTTAGCATTGCATTGCATGCCGTGGCATGGCACTGGAAATAATGACGCCAGCGCTGCAGCGGGAGCACAGTTCGGAACGAGCGGAAGCGCGTAAATGAGGCCAGCTCTGCTGCGGCAGCATGAATTTGAACGCGCGGAAGCGCGGAAATGAGGTCAGCGCTGCAGCGGGAGCAACATTTTGAACAAATGCCCAGACGAAAACCCACCTCCCCGGAGACCTATGTGTAATAAAAAAACAGCACGCGGAGCGGGGGCGAACATCTTCCGGACGTCATCAGGGGAGAGAGGGGTTTAGCATCCGTATTGTGCCATTGTTCAGAGGGAGTGTGCCGAGCCCCAATCGGGACCTGCTAGCCTGCAAGGCCCCCCAGGGCCTTGTGCTCTCGCTGTCGGGGGCTCGTCGCCTTTTTCTCAGTGGTGTGTCGCCGAGTCGAGCTCGGTGCCTCTCCCCCCCCTGGAGACGGCCTCCCCCGAATCGTTTTTGGGCGTCGCGGAATGGGGGGGGCGATAACTGAGGGGTCAGCGAGGGCCAGGGGCCCTTTGGGGTCAGTGGCCCTCTCAGGCCCAAAAGTGGGCCTGTAGGGCTCGAAAAGTACACCTTTCCCCCCCCCCCCCCCAACCGATTTATCGCCCCCCACCCATAAGGCGACGCCCAATCTGGAAGTCGTGGGGCTCCAGGAAGAGAGCCCCTGCCTTCCATCAAGCCCCCCCCCCCCCCCCGCCTTCTCAGAAGGAGGCCACCCGCCCCGTCCGCCGCCCCTTCCTGCGCGGCCCCGCCGAGCATGGCAAACATGGCATCGTGCAACCCGCCTCGGCCCGGAGAGCTGCCAATCTGCAGAGGGGGTCTCGGGGGCCCCACGGGAGCGCGAGGAGGACCGCGCGGCGCGCATGCTGCAGGGCGCGGTGTGCGAAGTCAGGTGGCGTGGCCGACCTTTTGCGTGTGTCGGGGGTGGACAGGCCTCCTGCCCTGACACGTCGATTGGCGAATTGGCCGCTTTCGCTTCGCGAGCGGGCGTCGCGGCCGTCATCTTCGCGGGTCCAGGTCTGTCGGTTTCGGTCCCAGGCCAGTTTCACTAAAGGAAGGTTTGCTAAAGGGAGGTTTGTCCACCGCCGAGTGTGGCTTCGGGACGCTCGAGCATCCCATCCCAGCGCACCTCCCTCCGTTGGCCCGTGGGCTGTACGCGAGGTAGGTTCGTATCGTGTCGACGCGGCAGCTACCGCAACGACGGCCTTCGAGGTTGAACGCTGTCAGGCTCCTAGAGCCAGTGGATATCGGGGGATCCGGTTTAGTTTGAGAGCCGCGATCGTTCAAGTTTGAACGATCCATTCGAGACCAACGCCCAGGCCGTCTCGACACTAACATGCCGCATTGATTTGCCAGGTCTCTCCCACTTGGATGGCCTCATCGACCTGATGGGCAAGCTGCTGTTGCTCGCCCCCTGCCACTTCATCGAGCTGCCGAATCGACCCT